ACAAAGGAGGTAATTAATCTCTACACTTCTCTCTCTTCAATTACTCCTCGAGAGCATCTCTCTCTGGAATACTGAGTATTGCTGACTTGAGCGTCGGAGTGTTTTCCCCAAGGAAACAACCTCGGGAGTTTCAGGTGTAGAAGCAGCTGAGGACTTCAACAGTGTTGGACCGCGAAGCTGCCGAAACATTGGCGCCGTCTGTGGGAAACTCGAACAAGAAGTTGTGTGACTTAACCTGCTGAAAAACAAAATGGTCCGTACTTTTACAAGAGGTCGCCCTCCAAGGCATGACATGGACGAACAGGAGGACGCCCAAGCATCTGAGCCTGGCTTAAATGATTTTAGACCAATGCCTAGGAACCTTTTTGTTGGGGGAGCAGAACAGGATCACCTAAGCGAAACAGATGATGATGAAAGAACACCAACTGGGTATGCAACCCAGCCTGAACAGTTCCAAGTTCCAACAGGAACAAGATCAAGACCTTCTAGACCATACAATTCACAGCGTGAACGACCTGAAAGGTCAACAAAACCTGCTCGGACTACCGAGCTCGAAGAGAGAACCAGAGTTCTCGAAATGGCAATGGGAAAAATCCTTGCCCATCTGATTCCTGATGACCCCCTGATTCCCTTGTTGAACAGGGATGCACAACCAGCTGCGGTTGTTGCAACTCGAAACTCCCCCGCTCTAAGCAACATAGCGGTGCCAACAAGGCCAAGGGGAAGTGGAAAGCTAAATATCGAACCCAGCTCCTCCAAGCACAGCGAAGAACTGTTAAAGAAGAATGCAGAACTTGAAAGGCAGCTACGAGATGTACAAAAGTCTATAGGCGAGCTGAAAAGTCCCAGGTCGTATCAGCAAACTCTTGATTTAGATAGCGCCCCATTGAACCTATCAATCACAACAGAACCGTATCAAGAGGGATTCAAAATTCCCCATTTAGAGACGTATGATGGCTCGGGCGACCCGGATGAACATCTGCACACTTATCAAGCCATCATGAGAATCCAAAACGCCAATGACGCCATGATGTGCAAAGTGTTCCCAACGACACTTAAGACAACAGCCAGGAGATGGTATCACAAACTTCCCAGACATTCCATAGACTCGTACTCCCAGCTCGCCAAGCTATTCTCCAACAAGTTTGCGAGCCAAAGGGAGATTAAACGTACAGCGACTGAATTAATGCAGGTTCATCAAAAAGAAGGAGAGTCTTTGAGGGACTACATGCAACGATTCAACAAAGCTACTTTAGACATTGATAACGTCCTTGATACCATTTGTTTATCTGCCTTGTTGCATGGCCTGAAGCCTGGCCGGTTTTTGGATGACCTGTTGGAGAATCCACCCAAGTCGTGGAATGAAGTAAATGACAGGTCGGCAAGCTTCATACTGTCCGAAGATTTTCAATCTTCTAAGCGAAGGGCTGATGACAGGCAAGGAAAAGAGCCCAAGCAGCCTGAAAACAGAGATGACAAGAAGAACAGAAGGTTGGCGAGCAGATAGGGAAACCACCTTCCTACCCAAAATATGACAGCTACATTCCCCTGAGCTCGTCACGATCCCAGATATTGTCGCAGATACAGCACTGGGTCAAGAGGCCCCCTCCACAAACGCATGATTCTTCACGAGCTGACAGAAGCAAATACTGCGACTATCACCATGTATACGGCCATAACACAGAAGACTGTCAGAGTCTGAAGGACGAGCTCGAATTCTTGGCTCGCAATGGAAAGTTGGAGGGGTATGTGCAGAAGCCTTTTGTTCGGCAACCCACTCAGACCCATTTTGTACAAGAGTACGGCCGACCTCAAGCACCTGGGTATCATCTCGGCAGTAATCCGAATTCCTACCAGACAGGTCTGTACTCGTTTGAACCAAACAGGGCGTACAGAGGACGCCCGTTCAATAGGCGTGGGCCAGGACAGAAAGCACCTACGCAGAACCAAAAAGACCACAGAGGAGTCGAGTACGGTGGAATACCCCCACCATCTGGCACAATCAATATGATCTCTGGTGGTATACATGCAGGAGGTCAAAGCGCCCGCGCCCGCAAGGCGTACGCTCGCCAGGTGATGACAGTAAGTAAGAACCAGCCTCTTAAGCGTCCATTTGAGGAGGCAGAATGGGAGAATGCGGCCATAACGTTTAGCCCGACAGATTACCAGCAAGCTGGAGAATCTAACGTCGTGATGCCTCATGCGGATCCTTTTGTAGCAACAGTCCATATAGGCAACCATAACGTCAATAAGGTCTTCATTGACACTGGGAGCTCGCCTGATATCCTGTATTGGAGCTGCTTCCAAAAGATGCAGCTGAACCCCAGCTCGTTACAAAAATATGAAGGGCCTATTTATGGATTCGACAATCAACCTGTCTCAGTGGAGGGAGTAATTACACTTTCCATTTACGTGGGCTCGAAACCACGCTTCAGGATGGCCTCAGTCAGCTTCCTGGTCGTCAAAATGGAATCAGCCTTCAACGCCATACTAGGAAGGGCTACTCTGTGCGAACTGAAGGCTGTCATCTCACAACCCCATCTCTGCATGAAATTCCCAACGCCTCAAGGGGTGGGAGTGCTGAAGGGCAATCAGAAGATGGCTAGGGCATGTTATCAGGATACGTTTAAGAAGGTTGAGCTCGCTGTAGCCCCAGGAGGATCTGAAAGTAGTAGGCCGGCTCAGCCCGGCCAGCAGACAATGAGCATATCAGACATTGAACATAGACCTGAGGGTGTCGAGCAGAAAGCAGAACCGGTGGAGCCAGTGGAAACCGTTCCTTTAAACCCTGATGTGCCGGAAATAACAGTAAAGATAGGCACCAAACTCACAGAAAAAGAACGAGCAGAGCTTCTAGAGTTTTTGAGGGTCAATCAAGATGTGTTCGCGTGGACTACTGATAAAATGCCCGGCATCCCGGCGGAGTTGACAGTCCACAAACTCAGCACAGATGCCACCAGAAGACCGGTGGTGCAGAAACGTCGCCTTTTTGGCCGAGAGAAACAAGCCGCCATAGACGAGGAGATACAAAAGCTGTTACAGGCTGGTTTTATTAGAAGAGTGGAGTACTCTGAATGGGTGTCCAACCCTGTGCTCGTTAAAAAGCCAAATGGCAAATGGAGGATGTGTATTGACTTCACCAACCTCAATGATGCGTGTCCAAAAGACCCTCATCCCTTGCCAAACGTCGAGAAATTAGTGGAGCGGGCAGCTGGGCATGAATGGATGAGTTTTTTTGATGCCAGCTCGGGCTATCACCAAGTTCAGTTGCTGTTAGACGATCAGGAGAAAACAGCTTTCTACGCTGGTGACGCTATCTATTGTTATGTGATGATGCCATTTGGCCTGAAAAATGTTGGCGCTACATATCAGAAGCTAGTGCAAATCATCTTTAAGCTCCAGATCAATAGAAACATAGAAGTGTATGTAGATGACATGATAGTAACCAGCGAGTGAGCTGAGGACCATATAGACGACCTAAGTGAGACCTTTCAAAATCTGTGCCGAGCCCGAATGAAGCTGAATCCCATGAAGTGCACGTTTGTTGTAGAATCAGGAAAATTCCTAGGGTACGTGGTAACCAAGAAAGGAATTGAAGTGAACCCAGAGAAGGTTCTGGCCGTTCAGCAGATGGAACCTCCCAAGACTGTAAAGGATGTACAGCGCCTGACAGGTCGTGTAGCCGCGTTGCACAGATTCATAGCCAAGTCGGCGGAACGATGCCTGCCGTTTTTCAAAGCTCTACGAGAGCCTAAAAACTTCCAATGGACTAATGAATGTCAACGGGCGTTTGACGAGCTCAAACAGTATTTGGCATCAGCACCCTTACTGTCTAAACCTGTCGATGGGGAATGCTTATATCTTTACCTGGGGGTCACAGAGGAAGCGGTGAGTTCAGTGCTACTGAGGGAAGAGAATGCAATTTAGAAGCCTATTTGCTACGTGAGCAAGGTGTTACAAGGTGCAAAGCAGAACTACCCGTTGGCAGAAAAGGCCGCATTTGCCTTGGTATACACAGCTCGTAAGTTGAGGGCTTACTTCCAATCACATCAGATTGTTGTCTATACTGACTTGCCACTGAGAAAAATACTGCAAAAACCTGAACTCTCTGGTCGGCTTATCGGATGGAGCGTTGAGCTGAGTGAATATGACCTCAAATTTCAGCCACGCACAACCATAAAAGGCCAGGCCGTGGCGGACTTTCTGGTGGAATGCATCTCAGCGACTAGGGAAGAAAAAGCACCTGAACACCCAGTATGGGTTTTGTATGTTGATGGAGCTGCTAACGATAAAGGGTCAGGTGCTGGGGCTGTGTTGATAGGCCCAGATGGCTTTAAATCTGAGCATGCATTACGGTTTAAGTTCCAGACCACTAATAATGCTGCTGAGTATGAAGCCCTCATCTATGGTTTGAAATTGGCGTCCGAGCTAAAGGTACAAAGCATACAAATTTTCAGTGATTCTCAACTCGTGGTGGGCCAAGTGAATGGCAGCTGTGAAGTTAGGGATCCCCAACTTGGCCGTTACACTTCTGTGGTCAACAGACTGAAGTTAAGATTTGCTTCATTTCAGATTGACAAAATACCAAGAGCTGACAACCACCGAGCTGACGAGCTGTCAAAGTTGGCCTCCTCGCAGGACATTAACCCTCGGAGATCAACAATTGTCGAGGTACTCGACGCACCGAGTTACACTGATTTCACAGTCAAGTGTCAACTGCTAAGCACTGATCCCTCTACACAGAGCTGGACCACCCCACTCATAAATTATCTGCGAAGTGGCGAACTACCTGAAGACCAGTCCGCTGCAAAATTGACTAAGCGCAGGGCGGCACATTTCACTTTGTTAGATAACCAGCTCTACAAACGAGCAGCCTCAATGCCCCTATTATGATGCCTTACTCCTTATGAAGCTGAATACGCGGTGAGAGAAGTTCACGAAGGAGTATGTGGCACGCACATCGGGGGCAAAACTTTAGCTCGGAAGCTCTTGAGGCATGGTTATTACTGGCCCACTATGGTAGAGGACGCGCTGAACTATGTTAAAAAATGTTCGACCTGCCAGTTTAATGCTGATGATATACACATGCCAGGTAGCTCAGCTTGTTCTTACGATCATTCAAACTTTCTATCTGTCTATAATCTGAGCATAACTATCTTCCTAAAAACAGGGGAAATGCTATCATCTCTTACATCTCCCTGGCCTTTTGCTCAATGGGGTGTCGACCTGCTCGGCCCTTTCATCAAAGGCAAAAGAGGCTGCACTTTCTTGGTCGTAGCAGTGGACTACTTCACTAAATGGATATAAGCTAAACCATTGTCCACGACAACGGAAAGGAAGATAGAAGAATTCTTGTTCAATTCAATATTGTGCAGGTATTCTTTGGTGGCTTAAGTCATAAATTAAATATGTGCAAACGTAGTTCCTAGCTCAGCTCGGTTATTTGTGTGCAGATTCGGCATACCTAAGCGGATTATCGCCGATAATGGGCCACAGTTCCGAGCAGCAGCACTTAGATCGTTCTGCAACGACTATGGCATTGAGCTTTCCTTGACGTCCGCGTACACTCCGCAGTCAAACGGGTAGGCCGAGTCTGCTAATAAGATCGTTCTGCAAGGCCTCAAGACACGTGTTATTTCCGCACGTTCCAATTGGGTTGACGAGCTCAATAAAGTACTTTGGTCATGCCGCACAACACCCAGCTCGGCCACGGGCGAAACCCCGTTCAGCCTGGCATATGGAGCTGAGGCCGTCATCCCTGTCGAGATCGGGCTACCATCTGCTAGATCAGATCGTCATAACGACCAGAATAATAGGCAACTCTTAAGGGAGAACCTAGATCTGGTGGATGAAGTCAGGGAAATGGCTCGAATTAGAAACATGGCACACCAAAGTCGTGTTGCAAAATTCTATAACAAAAGAGTTCGAGCTCGACAGTTTCAGGTCAGCGATCTGGTTCTACGTAAAGCTGGACTAACCAATGTCTACTCACACATGGGCAAACTCGCTCCTAATTGGGAAGGGCCTTATATGGTTATTTCCATTTGGCGACCTGGGTCTTACCAGTTGGCAGATTCTCAAGGTCACCCATTACCATTTATTTGGAACATACATAATCTTAGGAAGTTTTACAGTTAACGTGTATCTTATTAATGTTCAGGTCGTTACTGATCGTTTGTAAACAGTGATTCGTTAACCATTCAGCACAGAAATCTTGAAACGAAAGATTCGAATTTGTATTTCATCAATGAAATTTTACATGTGTAGTACATTTGGTAAATAAATTCATTGATTAACACCAAAACACAAAAAAGAAATACAAAAAAAAAAAACCCCTAAGCTAATCGTCCGTCAGATCGACGGGGATGGATGCGTTGTTGGCCTCTGAAGTAGACCGAGCAGGAGATGGTCGATCTGAAGGAGACGGAGCAGAAACAGCGGCTGCAGCGGGCAGAGGTTGAGGCTGAGCGGGAGGAGTGCTGGAAGGCTCAGCGGGCACATCCTGGGGGTTTGCAACCCAAGCATCAAAACTTGGCAACCCCTCCATGTCCTCCCCCTCTTCGATCACAGAAGGGGGCCACACGGGCAGCCCCTCCTCGTTTAGCTCCCATCTCAGCCTCACCCGGGTGTCCGCTGGCTGGGCTAGGCTCTTTCCTTCTTCGTTAATCTCCTCGCCCTCAAAGAAAGCCAGTTCGGCGATGGGGAAATCAGCCCGCACTTGCAGCACCTTCCCACGAACCTCGTTGAAAATGTCCGTGGTAGTGTTGGCAGAAGCAACCGCAACGGCGTCCTGGAACATCTCCGCTCCCACTAGCCATTCGGCCCCTTGTGCGCGAGCAAAGCAGATGTCGCGCTGGTGGGCCCTCTTGGTGCTTTCCAACGACGCCTCAGCTCGGGCAACATGCTGGTCGGCTTGTGCCACCCTCTCTCTCAGGGAGCTCAGCTCGTGCAGAGTCTTCTCCCTGTCAAACTCCGCTTTCCGGGCGCGTTCCTCTGCACGGCCAAGCTCCTCATTGGCAGCTTGAATGCCACTCTCCTTCTCCACTTGAGCCCTCACGAGCTCCTCCTTCAGCTCGTTAACCTTACGGGCCAGCTCGTCCGTTCGACTCTCCGTTGACGTCGCTCGGTTAGCCATCTTTGAGCCCTGTAAACGATTGACCTCGTCAGCCAAACTGGCTTTCTCAGAGGCCAGTTGTTTGCAGCTCTGTTGGAGCTCGCTGTTCTGCACACGGGCTCCCTGCTCGCACTCAAAGAGTGCGACTGTGTAGCTGAACGCCTATCATACACATACACTCATCAGTCACAAGCATGAAATAATAAAACCAACAATGAGCTCGGCGAATATTCTTACATCCATTAACTTGATTAAGGCAGCATGACTGCCATGCTGCTGAACGTGCCCCTTCGCGCGCAGCCGGTCCGCGGGAGGCACAAAGTTCTGCATACCCTGCAGCATAGCAGTCTGGCACTCAGTCCGAGCGTAACTGAAGCCGTCTGGGTATGCAATCCTCGGGCCCCCCACAGACGTCGAGGTTGGTGTGGCCTCAGCAACCTCGCGAGCTGGCGCTTGGGACACGTTGGAAGGTCTTGCAGCAGCGACCAGGGCGGGCTGCGAAACGGTGCTCGTCCTACGTTGGATGAGAGGCACGTCATCCTCTGCATCGGCATCCGCGTCTTCCCTCGAGCGCCTTCTGGAGCTGGAAGGCGCAGGCTCAATTCTTTGCTCAGCACGTGGCCTTTGTGCCGAGATTAAACCTCTGTGTTGCGAGCTGCGCCCTGATGCAGCAGGTGGCCGCTCGTCAAAGCGGGACTAACGTTGAGACCCGGACCCAGCTCCCTCGCTCCTTGAGCCTTGAGCTCGCTGCCTTTGCCTCTCTAGGATGCTGCTCATTTCTCCTTCACAAATAAAAACATAAGATTCAGGTCGGCTGGAAATCCTGCTATGTTATAGGAATATACCTTCACCGTGCAGGTTTGCCACATCGACAAACCCAAGAACTGCGATCTGGTCCGGGGTAACCAAGGCCTCCAGATCCACCAAACCCCTCGCCTTCACGTGATCAAGTAACCGGTTCTTCAGGTCGACGTCACCAATGGTCAGCTGAGGATAGTTCATGTACGTGTTCGGCGTACGCCACTCAGACAGACGGGCGGCGAGCTCGTTATTCATCCTTTTAGTTCGTGTATCGCGCACGAAGACGAACTGCCTCTTCCATCTCGCCACCTTGTTCCTAATGTTGGTGAAGATAATCATCTTCTCTTTTCCTGAGATGTAGTACCACCTCGTCCCACTCGTAGACGGGCACAAACGGCACAGGAAGAGCGACCTGAAGACCACCGCCTTTGCAGGCATCCCAACTTTTCGTACAACAGCATAAAGCCTATGATGAGCTTTATGCTGTTGGGAGTGAGTTGTGAAAGGGCCAGCTCGTACTCTGCTAGGACATCAAAAACTAGCCCGGGCAGAGGAAAACGTAGACCGGCCTCAAAATGGTCTACGTACACTGGCACCCAACCCGTCTGTGATACTAAGCACGCCCTTTCATTTGGTGTACCAACTCGGATCAGGATGGTTCTGGGGATTTGGAGTCGCCTCACCATCTGCTCTAGCTTCTTATACCCTTTCACCGTGGCCGCCCCATCT